CATGCGGGTGTGTATGTAATGGAGCTGGGAATGGCATCCCAAATATTTTGGGGTCCCGGGAATGTCTCACCCCGGTAGTGCTCCATGCGGGTGTGTATTTACAGGAGCTGGGAATGGCATCCCAAATATTTTGGGATCCCGGGAATGTCTCACCCCGGTAGTGCTCCATGCGGGTGTGTATCTAATGGAGCTGGCAATGGCATCCCAAAAAATCCCAAATTCTGGGAATGTCTCACCCTGGTAGTGCTCCATGTGGGTGTGTATGTAATGGAGCTGGGAATGGCATCCCAAAAAATCCCAAATTCTGGGAATGTCTCACCCCGGTAGTGCTCCATGTGGTGTGTATGTAATGGAGCTGGGAATGGCATCCCAAGGAATCCCGGATCCCAGGAATGTCTCACCCCGGTAGTGCTCCATGCGGGTGTGTATTTACAGGAGCTGGGAATGGCATCCCAAGGAATCCCGGATCCCGGGAATGTCTCACCCCGGTAGTGCTCCATGCGGGTGTGTATCTAATGGAGCTGGGAATGGCATCCCAAGGAATCCCAAATTCTGGGAATGTCTCACCCCGGTAGTGCTCCATGCGGGTGTGCATCTAATGGAGCTGGAAATGGCATCCCAAAAATTCCTAGATCCCGGGAATGTCTCACCCCGGTAGTGCTCCATGCGGGTGTGTATTTACAGGAGCTGGGAATGGCATCCCAAGGAATCCCAAATTCTGGGAATGTCTCACCCCGGTAGTGCTCCATGCGGGTGTGCATCTAATGGAGCTGGGAATGGCATCCCAAGGAATCCCAAATTCTGGGAATGTCTCACCCCGGTAGTGCTCCATGCGGGTGTGTATCTAACGGAGCTGGGAATGGCATCCCAAATATTTTGGGATCCCGGGAATGTCTCACCCCGGTAGTGCTCCATGCGGGTGTGGTGCGTGACGCCCTGCGAGCGGAAGCTCAGGCTCAGGATGTAGCGGGGGTCGGAGCTGTCCCGCACCAGGAAGGATCCGTCGGCTTTTCCCTTCAGCTTCATCTCGGCGTCCTCCCAGTTCATGGGGCCCCAGTACCACCCGCACTGGGAACGGGCAGAGTCAGGATTCCCGAGGGAAAATCCCAGCAGAGCGATTCCCGAGGGAAAAAACTCCCAGCAGGGCGATTCCCAAGGGAAAAAACTCCCAGCAGGGCGATTCCCAAGGGAAAAGTCCAGCAGGGCGCTCCCCACAATTCCCAAGGGAAAATCCCAGTCCCTGAGGGCTCAGATTCCCAAATCTCAATCCCTAAAGGGTCGATTTTCCAAATCCTAATCACTGAGGGGTTGGAATCCCAAATCCCAGTCCCTGAGGCTCACATTCCCAATCCCCATTCCCGAGGCTCCCATTCCCAATCCCATTCCCAATCCCATTCCCAAGGCTCCCATTCCCAATCCCATTCCCAGGGCTCCCATTCCCGATGCTCCCATTCCCAATCCCATTCCCAACCCATTCCCAATACCATTCCCAAGGCTCCCATTTCCAATCCCATTCCCAATCCCCATTCCCAATCCCATTCCCAATCCCCATTCCCAATCCCATTCCCATTCCCATTCCCATTCCCAATCCCAATCCCATTCCCGAGGCTCCCATTCCCAATCCCATTCCCAAGGCTCCCATTCCCAACCCATTCCCAATCCCATTCCCAATTCCCATTCCCAATCCCATTCCCAATCCCCATTCCCAATCCCATTCCCAATCCCATTCCCAATTCCCATTCCCAATCCCATTCCCATTCCCAATCCCATTCCCAATCCCATTCCCAATTCCCATTCCCAATCCCATTCCCAAGGCTCCCATTCCCAATCCCATTCCCAATCCCCATTCCCAATCCCATTCCCAGGGCTCCCATTCCCAATCCCATTCCCAAGGCTCCCATTCCCAACCCATTCCCATTCCCATTCCCAATTCCCATTCCCAATCCCATTCCCAACCCATTCCCAATCCCATTCCCAATCCCATTCCCATTCCCATTCCCAATTCCCATTCCCATTCCCATTCCCATTCCCATTCCCGGCGTTCCCGCACCTTCTCCAGCTCCCGGAGGCTGGCGGCGAAGCTGCCGGGGTCGGGCCGGGCCGGGACGCTCGGCTGCCCCGGGGCCTCGGGCGGCCGCAGCGGCGCCGGCCGGGCAGGGGCGTCTGCAGGGACACCGAGACGTCACCGTCACCGTCACCGTCACCCGGAGCAGCCACAGTCAGTGTCAGTGTCACCATCACCCGGAGCGGCCACGGTCAGTGTCAGTGTCACCATCACCATCACACGGAGCAGCCATGGTCAGTGTCAGTGTCACCCGGAGCAGCCATGGTCAGTGTCAGTGTCACTGTCACTGTCACCCGGAGCGGCCACAGTCAGTGTCACCGTCGCCCAGAGCGGCCACGGTCAGTGTCAGTGTCAGTGTCACCGTCACCCGGAGCGGCCATGGTCAGTGTCACCACCACCGTCACCATCACACGGAGCAGCCATGGTCAGTGTCACCGTCACCATAATCCGGAGCGGCTACAGTCAGTGTCAGTGTCACTGTCACCATCACACGGAGCGGCCACAGTCAGTGTCACCGTCACACTGAGCAGCCATGGTCACCGTCACTGTCACTGTCACACAGAGCAGGCCACGGTCAGTGTCACCATCACTGTCACTGTCACCCGGAGCGGCCACGGTCACTGTCACACGGAGCAGCCATGGTCACCGTCACCGTCACTGTCACATGGAGCAGGCCACGGTCAGTGTCACCGTCACTGTCACTGTCACCCGGAGCGGCCACGGTCACCGTCACACGGAGCAGCCATGGTCACCGTCACCGTCACTGTCACATGGAGCGGCCACGGTCAGTGTCACCGTCACTGTCACCATCACCCGGAGCGGCCATGGTCAGTGTCACCGTCACTGTCACCGTCACACGGAGCGGCCATGGTCAGTGTCACTGTCAGTGTCACCCGGAGCGGCCATGGTCAGTGTCACTGTCACCGTCACACGGAGACAGCAGGATCATTGTCACCATCACCATCAGATGGAGACAGCGAGGTCCCTATTACCGTCACCGTCACACAGGGACAGCGGGATCATGGTCACTGTCACTGTCACTGTCATTGTCATTGTCACACAGAGAAAGACAGGTCATTGTCCCCATCATTCAGGGTCATTGTCACCATTACACAGAGACAGCCGGATCGTTGTCATTGTCAGTGTCACACACAGACAGCCGGGTCGTTGTCATTGTCACCATTACACAGAGACAGCCGGATCGTTGTTATTGTCACTGTCACACACAGACAGCCGGG